GGCAGCAGGACCCAGCAGGACCGAGGGCCCGCCAGGCGCTTACTGAAGTACTTGAGCACGTGGAAGGCCCTGCCCTGCCAGCGGAGGGACAGCCTGAGGATGGCGTAGTGCTCGTAGTCCGTGTCGATCACGTGGATCTCCCTGTGGCCTGGGGAGCGAGCGGAAGGGGAGGCTGTGCTGACCAGCACCCCTGGGGTCAGACTCCCTCCTCTCCGCACCCACCCAGCCCGTCCATATGCCGGGGTGGAGGATGGGGGCTAGAGTAGCCCTTGAAGGATGGCAGGTTTATTAGTGAGACAGTGGGAAGGTCTGGAGCGTGGAGAGGAGCGCGGGGAACAGAGTGGGGAACAGAGTGAGAGCAGCACAGGGAGCAGCACAGGGAACAGAGTGGGAGCAGCACAGGGAACAGCACAGGGAACAGAGTGGGAGCAGCACAGGGAACAGCACAGGGAACAGCACAGGGAACAGAGTGGGAGCAGCACAGGGAACAGCACAGGGAACAGCACAGGGAACAGAATGGGGAACAGCAAGGCCACGGTGCTGGTGTGCAGGGCCACGGGGTTGTACTTGCAACAACAGGACAACGTTCTTACCAGGAAAAACAAATCTCCCCGAAACATCGACCTCTGAGCCCACTATGTTTTCTGTCTCACAACTTCCTGAGCTGAAAGGCAGCAAAGTGCTCATTAGGAAAAGCCAGACTGCGTCTCCTGCTGGGCACACGGGGCGGGGGGGGGCGGGGGACGTGTCTTCAGGAAGGACAGGGCGGAGCCCCTGGCCTCCCCCTCCCCCCTCCGTGGCTCCGGGACCATGGGAGCCACCTTCCCTGAAGCCACCTCCTTCCTAAACATGGACGGGATGTCGTCGGCTCTGATGCTAAGGGAGAGATGGGCTGCCAGGAGCCTGGGGTCTGGTCTCTGGGGGAGGCGGGTCAAGGTCTCGGATGGTGGACGCAGGGAGGGCTGGCCCACCAGTGACCACGGCCTCCCCCTACCCCCCTCCGTGGCTCCGGGACCACGGGAGCCACCTTCCCTGAAGCCACTTCCTTCCTACACATGGACGGCGGCGGCGGCTCTGATGCTAAGGGAGAGATGGGCTGCTAGGAGCATGGGGTCTGGTCTCAGTGGGGGAGGCGGGTCAAGGTCTCTGATGGTGGACGCAGGGAGGGCTGGCCCACCAGTGACCACACCGTCCACACCCCAGAGCCACCGGCGTGCAGCTGGGCCGCCCCGGCACCTGGCGCACACCTGCTCCCCGCGAGCTCGGGGGCCCTCACCTGTTGTACGCGGCCTTCACGGTCAGCTCGGCCCCGTGCAGGGTCAGGAACAAGGCCTCCAGCCGCCTCGGGGTCTTCAGCGCCAGGTTTTGGTTGGAAGCCACGCCGACTTCCCGCCAGAACCCCACAATCTAGAGGGAGGGGCAGAGCCAAGACCATGGGGCAGCCGGACGGAGGTCCAGGGGTGGGGCCCCCAGCCCCCCGGGGAGGGAGCCGCCAGTTCAGAAAGGTCAGCGGACAGCACAAGGCTCAGGGCAAAGGAGCAGGCGGTCACCCTTGGGAGGGGCCCCTTCTGGCATCAGCCGGCCATGCCCACGGGGCCCCTCCCCCAGGCCTGTGTGCAGTCCCCGGGGAAGCGTCTCTGCTGCTGCCTGCCCTTGGGAGGGACGGGGAGGGCAGCGGTGGAGAGAGAGAGAGAGAGAGAGAGAGCGAGGCTGGAGAGGGCGCCAGCCAGGAGCGCGTGGCCCTGTGGGTCCGTTGGCCGCCAGCCGCTGTCCCCACAGAAGAGGCCCAGCTCTGTCCTCCTTCACCGAGACTCTCAGCTGATCGTTTTTGCAACAGAAAAGAAGTTGTGTCCCCAGCGTCAGGCGGGGGCCGACCTGGGTAGGTGCTGGGCCCCCCGTCGGGGCAGCTGCTCCGGCCTCAGCTGGGGGTTAGAGGGACGGGGACTGGAGCAGCTGGACACGGGCCCCTCCCCACCCCCTCTCCCCAAGACCAGGCCGGGAAGCCACCTTCTGCAGGTCTAGGTCCTGCACGGCCACCTCCACCTGCACCAGGACCAGGCCCAGGATGGCGCCCAGCAGCCCGGCCCCCATCGCTGCCCAGCGCTCTCC